ACTGGCTTTCTAACAAACCCATTATTTTATTTCGTGTGCCAGCCAGATTCATTTTTTTTTTAAAGTGTGATTTCTTATAAAATTGCTCAACTGTTCGCGCACTTCAATATTATCAATGTCTGTGACATGAAAACTTGATCTTTTCTTTTCTTTCTTTATTTATGCGTTTGAAATTGCTGTATCATTATTTTGGTATTTAATTAGAGTTTGATATATCTTCGGCGCTATAGTTGGGTTTCGACGAACAATTTGCTGTTTATTTTCATTTTTTTACAAAATATTTTTGTTTTGACAATTGTAAATATGTATGCAAAATTGCGATGTTAGGTTGAAGTTTAGTTGAATTCATACACGTCAAATTACAAACAATATTTTATTTCAAAATAGCTGGAATGTTTGTTTGGTTGTTTAGGAATTTCTGGCTTTCTTTTTTTATTTTCTTATTCTTTATTATGATGGACTTGATACAGCTTTTGCGGCCCGAGGTCGTGTGGCGGGATTACAGAATTACGGAATTTATTTTTTCAACTTACGTTGTACGAACAAAAAATTATTGCAATTACGTTGAACGAAAATAACCCTTGCCCCCTACTAATAATGTATAGTATTATTGTGTTGTAAAAATAGGTTTCCAAGGTAGCGTATTTTGCTATTTTTAACACATGGATATTTATTTGTACTTATTTTCACGAGAATATGTAAAAACTTGTGTGAATTATTATGAACAACTACAGAAAAATAACATTCATATAATATGTGTCTTAATAATGTCCACTTCCACTACAGGCACTGCACACTCTACTCGAGACTGCCGACAATTGTGTATCTTAGGCATTCAACCGCCGAGGGCGTTAGATGGGGAATGCGACTCGGAAGCATTTCAAGCGAGGGATAATAATAATATAATAATTGATTAATATTAGGTACGAACGACTATTCACAGTCTAACTCTACCCGTTTGTAAACCATGACTATCTGCAAATAAAGTAGTGTTCCCAATTTAACTGATATTCTATAAGTATAGTAGGCTACTTTCTTCACGATATGGTGGCACCACCTCATATCAGTAAGTTCCAGCACAGTATCTCCATAGAAGGAGTGGGGTTCCAGCTATCCCATTCGCAAATCATCGGGTCCCATTCTATTGTGTACAAAAATTCACAAACATGGACAACTCGGGGACCCTTTCTCTGCACGACTAATCACATATCAGCAATAAGTGCTACAACTTTTAACTGTGCCCCAATTGATCTGTAATTCTCGAATTACCCCTCTAGTATTAAGCATAGCGTGGTGTAAGCAATATACTCTATATGAACTAGGATGAAAAGGAATTCAGTGTCCATAGTATAAATAAGCGTATTAGTATATGACTGAAGAAGCACAATACACGTTCAATTCAAGATCCTTTAGAAAGGACCATTTTACAAATTACTGTCGGCATCCTTGTTGACTTTTAAAGTTCAACAATAAGGTGGCTGGTTGTTATCCCCTCCCAACCAAGGTCCCAATTGTATGCCTCGGGCTTATTGTACTGTTGTCCATTTTACACGGGGAATTTAAGAGTTATTATTCTGAATCAGTGTTTATATACTCGCTATATACAAGTCGGCCGTGTTTTCATTGTCGACAGCGGACGATTTCAGTAACCAGTGGGCGACAAGGTCAGAGCATCACAGTCCACACAGAGGAACTCACGTAGTCAGAAAAGGTAAAGCAACGCAGGCAGAGAAGAACGTCACAAAAAAAAATATATGAAATACTAACCTCCTTGATCTAGTTTCCTCAGAAATACACAAGTTAGGCAATATAACACCCTCTCATCCCACCCTAAGGTATCCCTTCCAATTGGTGGTATAGTAACAGTAAAATGTGATTCAGGCAACCATAATATCAAACAGATGAATATTACAATTGCATCTGAAACACGTAATATTCCTCGGAAGGAACAATGACGAGAGAATAGATAATCTAAAATGGATAACCTAACACAATACAGGCGATATACAAAATAAAGTCTAAAATACAGTCATACTAGGTACTCATTTCTACCGATAATAACATAAAAAAAGTTCTATGGCCTATTAAATATATTCCAAGCCCCGAAAAACTAAATGTATCAAATAACGCTTCCATATGGAACAGGTGAAAGCAGTTTATTTTATTTCAAGATATCTCAAGTAGGTTTGTTAACATTTTTTATGTTGAGTTTAAGTTTAAAACATTACGCTATCGACATCTTTCGTTGATGCATTTAGTAGTCTGAGTAGTAAGTGTCCAGTCTGTAATCCGCAAGAAGTGGCTATGTGGTACGCGTATACCTGTTGTTATGCTAATCTCCAACAGCAACTGTTGTAGCAACCAATGTATTGTGCTCTGTCTGTCTAGAGTATTCATCCGCGAGACGGCACTAGTTTTGGAAAATTATATTATATTTTAGTTACTCGTACATCAAAACGCATATATGAATTGCTAAAATACAATACTTCAGTCATTCCTGAAATGAAATCAAGACCGTTCTGGGGGTAATTTAAGAAAAAACAAGTAATGACATAGTGGAACTATTTTAAAAGCGGATATGGAAAGAATAAGGTCGTTATATGTACGTAAATGACCGAACTTCCTGGGAACTTAGCTCGTCAAGTGTGGTCACTGAATTTATATCGTATGTAAGAAGAGATTATGTGATTTTCAAAACCATGTCCCAGATGCTGGTTTGAGGGGTTAAAATTCTGTGTTTTTCCCCTGTTCCGTCCACATTTTCAGGTAAGTCTGGACCAAGATGTATCCCGGCAATTTGAGGGACACAGTTGTGAGGTTCAACGAGCATCACGTTCGCTGGACCTTGTTTGTTTTGACCATAGCACTCGTGATTCCGCCTAACATTAAAATTTCCAGCGACTGATGACTCCGATTATAGGAGCGAATATGAACTGACTGAATCCTTGCGCCATAAAACACCGGGCGAGGCTGTCTTTGTCATGCCCGTCGGAACCCATGCACCTGTGACATGGCCTCCCGCGAGATGGTAAGATGGTAAACTTTCGTCACGGTACTTCCGACCACCATGCCATGTAGTTGACTAGTGTCAATTATCTCGTATTGGGAGATTTATCCAAGTAAATGCAGTATAAAAATAAATTATATTTAGACAATTCCGATGTTTGTTTTTTTGTTTTTTTCTTCAAAAAAACACATAACAGCTTCTGTTGGTGAATAATGTGGGGGCTCGTTTCGTCTGTACTCAGATAGTGACATCGAGGTCACATTAAGGTCATAAATAATTTAAATAAACAGAAAAATTCGGACTCTAAACATAAGTACAACTGCTATTTTAAAAATTACCCCTGTTGTACAAAGATGCAGCAAATAAATAAATCAGTATTATTAACGTTTAACGTTTTATTTGTATTTTCATTATCAAAAAATGTTTAGCAGTTCATATTGAATACTAGTACATATGAGGGAGGGAAATAGCATATGTCTTTTCCTCCCCTAAAGGGCTTTGAGTTGCTCAAAAAATCAGTCTATTGAATTATTCAATTTATAATTACAATAATATTAGTAGCCCATTGGTCTTCCATATGCCAGCGCAGAAGCTGCTAGAAACATGCAACATTCCCTATTGACTAAGTTATGCTCCTCTTATGAGAGTGCCAACTTTCATGTATTGTATTAGTCTCGCAATGTAGTTAAAGCCAAATATTTATAAGATATAAAAACTGTTTCTGTTTCAATTACAAAGCAGTGAATTTTATCATTGCCGAATCAAATCTGCAACTCAAAACAACCCAATTCCATGTTACACTTGCGATAGTTTCAAATGAGGTGTTGTCACAATTGATGACTACAGTACCTTTTGTCATTTTGAACATCACAGAGCACCTCATCAACATCACAAGGTATCCCCGGTCGAAGCAAAAAAGGCAACTTACTGCTGCCAGTAATTGAAATTTATATGATATGTGTTCATCATTTAATTTTTATTAAACTATGCTTTTTGTCAAAGGTTTCTTTGGATCAACAAAACAGAAAACAAATATTTAATTTCTTCATTCTATCAGGTGTGATGCCTTGGTACACAAAATTGCAATAAACAAACCATTTGTTATATGCTTGATCTTTAAAATATTTCTTAATTTGAAAATAGACACACCTCTTGAAATTTAAGGCATACATGCAACTAATACAGTATGTGTTTTAGGGCCACCTATAGCTCATAACAGTTTCTGTGTACAATTAATTTGTTTTGGCTATTCAGCAATTTACACTTGACTAGAGAGAATAAATGGGACTGTTTTATTATTGTATTGGAAATGTTTGTCCTCTGTACAATGTATACATTCAAAAGAAAAGAAATACTAGTACTCACATATATCATTGATGTTTGTCCATTAGATCATAAATATTGCTTGTTGGTTTTTACATTTGTGCACAAAATATGTATACAATTTAAAACTCTTCCACGTTGCTACGCTCTATTAGTCGCAAATTACTGTAAACCTCACATTTTATAACTAACAGAAGCTTTGTATTATCACTTGCATTAATTAAATTCCCTATATAAAAAAAGTACAAGAGTTTTCTGGTTGTTACTCTGGCCTGAATTAAGAGAATATAATGCAGTTATTCCTGTGATAAGTTTTTATTATTTCACCGTGGCAACGCATTGTTATTGGAATGAAATGAAAACGCAGTGTTATTGAATTTATTGTCGCTTGCGGGTGTTATAGTATGTTGATATAAGAACAAATCAATCAAACTGGCAGAAGAATATGCAACCCTCTCTTATTTCTGCTCTTAAAGAAGGAGTTGTCACATTTTGTCTTGCTGCTGACCGTTACTAGTTTATGTATTGGTTAAGTTTTTAATTTTATTCAGGTTCAAAATTTAAATAAAAGAGTGGCTTTAATATTCATTGCAGGTATAAATTTAATTTAACTCTGTAGACACAGTCAGATTAATCTATAAATTCACCTACATGATTTGTTTTGTTTCAGATTAAAAATGGCAGATGAGAAAGAGAGCACGGACACTCCTGAGATGCAGTCGGTAGCACAGACACCTACCAGTGAAGTGCAGTCAGTTGGCAGAGAAGGCTCGGCAGTCAGTGGGAAATCTCAAGCTGTTTCAGTTACAAGCGACAAAACCTCTGATAGAAATGAATCCAAACAGCTGTCCGAGTCGGGAAGATCAAGTGCACTATCGAGTAGTAGAGGGCATCCAGCATCGGCTAGCTCTCAGGCCACGTCCAGTAAAAGCGCAAAAAGAAAAGACAAAATAAGAAAATCATCAGATGATACAGTACATAAAGTGACTTTGACTGTAACAATTGCCAAAGCCATCCCCACAGGTAAGCATCCTAGTTTAATTTACAACATTCTCACATGGTCAGTGTGCATTCACTGGAAAAATAAAACCTCATCATTTCAAACTGTGGCAGGCAGATTTCTTAGAATATGTGTCATGTTAGAGTTATTGAATCATTTAGTAACTAAAGTCAAGACTGATGCTGAATGAATTGTTTTGCTTTTATTTTCTGTTGTATCTCATGAGAAGTTTGATATTGGAGCACACTTAGTAAAAATGGAAATTGTTGTTAACCTAAAACACAAAAGAATAGTGAAAAAATTGTGAAAAATACAGTCGCTGAACTGAAATGTCAGCAACATTATATTTGTTTGCACTAGAAGAATAAATAGAAAGTATATGCCGTGGTCAATGGTTTTCCATTTGTAACTTTAGTTACTACCGTATATTTTGTTTGATGTCTCTCCTGGGATCTTGATTCTATAGAGTGAGTCTAAATATAACAGTAAGACACATTCTGTATCACGTTTGTCATTTTGATTCAGGATCGTTTCTTTTATATTAGTTATTACTGGACGGTTTTACCATATTTATTATTATGCGTGACAGGAATCAATTTCTTGTGCAATGTATATCGGGTACTATATTGTATGCACACAAGTCTGCAGGCATATAGGCTCTCCAAACATGTGAGGGATTTAGACTAATTCCTTGATCAATCTAGCTTGTAGTCTGAACACAATAATGGATTCTTTTTAATCACATAATCTTGACTGCAAGCTATTTCTTTCTTGTAATATCGTAATACAATGTGGATTACAGATGTGAATTTATATATCGCTATAGGCAGTCACTCTACACTTGTTAAGAATGACTGGGTTCTGATCCTTTATCAAATATTAAGAAGTACAGTAAAATCTGTATTAGAAACCACAGCTTCTATTAAAATCGTACAATGCAACAGAGGGGATGCGATTTCTATTAGAGCATCTATACATATGAGAAATGACAAATTTTTGGTTCTCAATTATTCAAAAAGAATGGTTGCGACTTCTAATACAGATTTTACGGTAATAGAAAAATACATGACAAATTAAAAAGTATTTATAAACCGATGATGAAAGGATTTTAGAATATATAAAACAATTTTTTGTTTGAAAATATCGTCCATTATAGTCATTATGTTTGTAAAATTGTAATTTCTTGTAAACTCTAGTTACCTAAAAAAATGTTAGTAAATTATGCGTGACAGGAATCAATTTCTTGTGCGATGTATGTTTATGCATTTTGTTGGTATTTGGTTCCATGCAACACTGTTCTCATCTTAGTGTGTACAATTCCACCCAGTAGTTTGCTTAGCATTTTCTAAACTTTTGCAGTTTCATCAGCAGTTCATTCATCAAAATTTTGGGTTGTTGATGATAGCCAAAATTATTTCGTCAAAATACAACATGGTAATAGTCACTAAAATAGTATATACGATAGTATGTTGAGTTTTTGCCCTATTTTGTAAATGCAATTTTGATCCCTGTGCATAGCCAGGCTAATTATTATTCAATATTCAACAAATTTTGCATTTCATAGTAATGGTACAATTTTGTGAAATTGTTTCCCATCAAAATAGCATGATGATGTGTTATCTTTGCAGTTGAAGAAGAAGGATTTAAAATAGAGGACATGGTGAAGAAGAAAAAAAGGATAGTTGAGGCTCCCAAGGCTCAGAACTATTACCATTGTTCTTATTATCTTTTACCTGATGACACTGATGCAACCAAAACTGACATTGTTACGTTTGGTATGGCAGCTAAGATATACACAGAGCATGAATCCAAAGTATTGAAAACCTGGCAAGAAGGAGATCATACATGGGTTGCCTGGTCACATAGGTATTTGTCTTGTCAAACCATTATGATTTAACTTTTTCAACACAGGAATTTCTCGCCCGAATTTTTCTGCACTTTTTTCTTATATTCTTCAATATTTCTGTAAATGAACCCTTATTTTGGAGCCAACAGACAGAATTTGAGTCAATTGCCAGTTTTTACCCTAAAAAATTTGGCTATTTGTGTCCCAATCTTCTGAAAGAAAGTATAGACTATAAACATGACTACCGGCACTAGTATTTTGTGAATTTGTGATGGAAAGAGGGAACTGGTGGTGAAAAGGTTAAAGAAACAGTGATTTTATAGTACTCTTATGCAAGACAAAAATATAAATATATAAATTATTTTAACTTCCAATATGTACAATAGTTCTTTATTGTATTTATTCCCATTCCCTAAGGCTAATAAGGAATAACACTTTGTATTAATTCCAAATTTTGTTTGCATTTTAGTCACACAGTGACAGTGACAAAAGAATTGTTATTAAAACTCTTCAATCATACACTTGAGTTGCGTATTTGGGATAGCAAGGACAAGGTGTCATCAAAAGCTCGATTTGATCGTCCCAAAGCATTCCGTCTTCCTCAAGCTAAATCTGGAGAGGATCCAGAAGATGTCGGTGGTGTGAGGTCATTGGTGATGAAGCAATCGCAGAGCTTTATTGCTTTGCAGCCCAAGAAATCGTTTATAAGCCGTCCTGTTCCTCAGAATGGTCCTCCTGGAATGCACAATATATGGAAAACTGGTGAGTGATATGTGATGAACTTAACTCTGATTCATTTCTGGGTTTGGATTGGGGAAACTCACAGTAAAATGCACTATTCCCAATAGAAATACAGGTATTCCAAAATAACATTGCTTATCTTTTTGGAATAATTTTGTGTTTCTTTTGCCAAGTCACTCTCAAGTTAAGAAATATAGTTTTTGATGGAAGGGACAATTTAGATAAATGCAATCGATTATTGAATGATTGAAACAAAAATACCTGTGTCATATTCTCATTGCCTTTGTTTGTTTGTTAGGTATTCTCTTATGGTGAATCACCTTTAATATTAATTCTTCTTTTGTTATGTTTGTTTTCAGATGCCAAAGGGCGACCAATGCGAGAAACAAGAGCAACAGATACCAGCCATAGTATTGGTAAAGATAAAAGTACTTCTGATACTTCATCCAAATCGTTAATATATAAATCATCATCCCAGAATCTTCGAGATTTAGATGCGTCTATTGTGACGGACCACCAAGAAGCACCCTATACATTAGTATCGCTACCAATAAACAGTGAACAAGATCTCCCAATAAAGTGAGTTTCTCATAAAATTACTGTTTTTATTCAACATTTAATGATGCTTTCTGATGTGGAATTTTTTGGCATACCAGATGACATTTCCAGACATCTTTGATACTAATTGCAAGCGCACAAGTAAAAACCATTCTCACAAATCTAATACCACATGCTTGGGAAAGGCAGGGCAGATTGTACTCTGATTTACACTGCAAAGTAAAACAGTTGGCTCTATGAATTGTACCCACAATCTTCCTGATGCCTGATAAACATGCTATGCACTGCACATGTACCTTCACTCAGGTGAAATATCACATCATTTTTTCCCATTTAAAATTCCCATTTTAATTTCTATAACAGTAGAAGAAGTCCCATTAATGTCATAAACTTACAACATGGTGTACAAAATTACCACTGTTGCTCAAGAAATCAGCCATTGAAAAAAAATGCCTGCCACAAAAATATGAAAAAAAAACAAACATAAATTTGTCAATATCAATAAAAAAACAAATTATTTATATCTTACAAATTATTTATATCAGTCAAATAGATTCATTCTGAAACATTAAATTAACATTAAGTGTAGCTTCATTATAAAAGGTTTATTAGTAATTATCATTGTGTACATTACAGATCTTACAGTCGATTAGGCAGGCTTGCTGGAGCACCAGATGCTAGTGAAGTAAAGCAAATGAAAAAACACATACGAGAACAGCAGCAGAAACGAAAGGAAGAACTGAAGAAGAAAGCACCACTGTCAGCCAAGGCCAAAGAAAGTAGAGAGAGTATCGCAAGACTAAATGAGAAACAAGAATTACAGAGTAAAGAATCTCTGGTGCATAAAAAAGAGCGTATACCAGCGTCAGCGCCACCAAGTGTTGGTAAGTATTTAAGCTTCTTATGGCACTTATGTTTTGTGAGAGGCAAATTTCATGATTTTAGTAAAATACTGAACTAGACATTTTACTGGCACAGAGTTTGATGAATTTTTCTCCTCGCAAGTCAACAACTTGTAAACATTACTTTTACACTTATAATCACATAAATAATGACCTTTCATTCAAATGCATTTAATAGTCATTTTTCAGGGGTATTTGATTTGCTTTTTCCATATGAAGAAAGCTAAGTATTTCTGTGATGTAATTCTATCTGTCCATAATAGTAATACAACAGAATGACTGCATTTTTTACTACATATATGTTCATTAACCTGACATTGGATGAATTCAAAGTAATACTTTGTCTCTATCTTTGTATGCGCAGGTAAAAAAGGCACCCGTGAAACAGGACAACACAAAGATTCCAAACGCCATGCAAAAAAATTGGAAGTTGCAGCTGCAGAAAAAGCTGCCGATATAAACAAGAATGGCAACTGCTGCATTCCAGTGCAAATGAAAATACTCTTTTCAGGTGTTAAATCAGTCACTAATCGCTTAGACAAACCTGTACCAGGAATTGAGGATGTGTTTATCACAGTGTCATTGGATGGTGATCTCATGTCTGAAAGTCAAGAACAAGAACTTAATCCATTAGTCATTAAAGTCAACTACTCGGATAAATTGCCAAATACGCCGATATCCTACGATGAACTAGATAGGAAATGTCAGCCTGTTTACTGTAAATATACATTTTATAAACAGCCTGAACACAAAAGTATTGGCAGGAGTCACTCTTCCACGGTGTACTGGGAAGATACTAATGTAGTTCTTTTAGGTAGGTGTGATCAGTGCCATCAGTGTTTTGAAGAATGTGTCTTTTCTGTTCTTTGATTGGTTAGTCAATTACGAAGCTGATCTGTCATGGGTCAGTCAGTGATTATTTTTTCAATTGGTCATCAAAGTTACTAGTCAACCAAATTCTAAATTTGCGGCAGCGCTACTGAGCCCATATGTATTTTGAGAAAGAAATTCATACCAAAGCTAGTTAGCCAAATTCTAAATTTGCGCTACTGAGCCCATATTTATTTTGAGAAAGAAATTCATACCAAAGCTAGTTAGCCAAATTCTAAATTTGCGCTACTGAGCCCATATGTATTTTGAGAAAGAAATTCATACCAAAGCTAGTTAGCCAAATTCTAAATTTGCGCTACTGAGCCCATATTTATTTTGAGAAAGAAATTCATACCAAAGCTAGTTAGCCAAATTCTAAATTTGCGCTACTGAGCCCATATGTATTTTGAGAAAGAAATTCATACCAAAGCTAGTTAGCCAAATTCTAAATTTGCGCTACTGAGCCCATATGTATTTTGAGATAGAAATTCATACCAAAGCTAGTCAACCAAATTCTAAATTTGCGCTACTGAGCCCATATGTATTTTGAGATAGAAATTCATACCAAAGCTAGTCAACCAAATTCTAAATTTGCGCTACTGAGCCCATATGTATTTTGAGATAGAAATTCATACCAAAGCTAGTCAACCAAATTCTAAATTTGCGCTACTGAGCCCATATGTATTTTGAGAAAGAAATTCATACCAAAGCTAGTCAACCAAATTCTAAATTTGCGCTACTGAGCCCATATGTATTTTGAGAAAGAAATTCATACCAAAGCTAGTCAACCAAATTCTAAATTTGCGCTACTGAGCCCATATGTATTTTAAGAGAGAAATGTTCACTGAATCTAACATAAAAATGTTGTCACATTTTAAACTCACTAAATGATCTGTCTCTGTCTGTCAACATTCTTCTCTAAAATTGCTTTGATTTTTGGTATGTAAGCACATGAACACCCATTTTCAATGCGAAAGTCTCTGATTGAAATTATAAGGGAAATATTTGCCTATTTTTAAGAGCACTAATACAAGCATGTGTGGCTTTTAGGCAGTTGCCTCTTCAGCCTCTGGCAATTTTGAACCATGTAGGCTTTGGATGGGTTTTTAAAAAAAAATTTTTTTTTCTGTGTGTCACTTAATTTTTCCTGAATCTCACTTTGAGCAGCATTTTTATTGTCATGCTCACAATGGGTGTAAATTTGTTTAAATTTTCGTAATTTTCACTGAATTCAGACTAAATGTCACTTTGCTTCTAGTTTTCGATCCAGAAATTTGAAAATTGTTATCAACATTTAATGTCCAAACCTTTTTATTGATTGGTGAGTAAAGTTGACTTTGACGCTCAAAGGGTTGACTATTATTGGTAGTATCACATGTCTTATTAATACTTGTATGTACATGTATCTTTTTATTTTAATATTATAATTTTTTATTTGATTAGGTATGTTAGATGAAGGGTCCGTGAAGGAGTACTTGAATGGTCCTCCTCTAGAGATAGAAGTGCATGATAGAGATAGGAAGGCGGAAGAGGTTAAAAAAGAACCAACGTTATTTGGTGAAGATGTGGAAGATGATAAACTTGGCAATGTTGGCATGGTAACAGGTATGTCAAAGCTACTTTCAAGATTGTACCTGTTTGGCTACCCAACCATGTATGCCTTTCTAGAATGAAAAAATAATGCATATTTGAAACCTAGTTTTATTAAGTATACAGATACATGTATTTTCGTCCAGCAATCTCTCTAACTATGTATGTTTATCTCTCACCATAGGAAAGAGGACGTTACATAATCCATTCACCGGCAGAGATAAACCTTGGGATCCATACGGCATTGCAAAATTTCAGTTATCTGATTTATTACTTGGTGAAAAAATATTGAACCTAACAAGTCCTATACACAGCTGTAGCATTCCTGATCAGATGGGATTCCAAGTGGCTAGGAATGGAAGACTTTTGGGAGTTCCTAACTCAGTGGATGGTCCAAGTAGGTATTCATGGCGACTCGTATGTATCCATATCCTGACAGTATTGGCATGCCACATAAACATATTGTATTTTTAGGTTTTTTTAAATCAATCAAACCTGTGTATAGCAACCGTCCAGGGTACTTAAACAAACTTGCCTTTATTAGTCCCCGTTCGGACGAAGTCCGAAAACGGGGACTTATAATTCGGTCTCCGTCCGTCCGTGCGTCCGTCCGGAGTCATATCTCAGACTCCCTTGGACCGAGTCCTGAGTTCCTGAGTCTGTCCGTCCGACCGTCCGTGTGTCCGTGCGTCAGTCTATCCAACGTCATATTTCAGAATCCCTTTGACCGATTCTGTTCATTCTTTGCATGTGTCTAGTACTTTATGTGGGACATATGCACATGCAGTGGTTTAGCGATTCGATTCAAAATGGCCGACTGGCAGCCATCTTGTTTTTTGAAAATGTTGTATTTTGGACATGCTTTGTCACTTTTCATTCAAACTTGGTA